ACAAGTAGAAAATAGCAGAATTAGTTTTTGACCAAAGCCTTGATAAAAAAATCGTAGCTAGAAAGGAACTAATAAGAGGCCTAGTAACAAAGAAAAGAGTCTAAAGAATTTGCTTGCTGATAGAAGAAGAAGTAGAAAAGACCGCCAAAATTCTACAAGCCTTTATCGACAGCTTTTCACAAGCTCATTTGGAATCCTCGGTGCAAAAAGATTGTAGAGTGGGAAAAAAAAGAAGGCATAACAAAGAGGAAAATGCAAAAAATGCAAAGTGAAGAGGCAGAGGAATAAGACAAAAAAAATAGAGACCCATCAAGCAGTACAAGAGGGAAGATGCCAAAAGAACCAAGGTTAGCTACAGAGAAAGAAAACTCAACACAGCCAAAGAAAGAGAAAGTCTAATCAGAGAATAGGTGATCCTCACAGGTTAAACTGAAAAGAGTTTTTTAAGCATGATTGACATGGCAGACAACAGCCAATTAATGACCAAGGGGGTATCTTAATCCAGTATTGTTACTCAGACCAGACTTGGACTCGGACCGGACCGGACCGGACTTGAATTCGGACCGAACCAGGTAATTATGTCCGCCGGACAGTATATAGATTGAGTTAACCAAAATTAAGTATGCTGCAATACTACCAAATAGAGACCTGATCTGGTCAAAGACTAATCAATCGAATATTTGTTTGCTCAATTTTTAAATATTGAAAATTGATGATAAATATCCGAATAAGTTTATTGAAAATTTGATGTATTAATGTTTAGATTATCAAATATTTTAAAGTAATTAATTATTCAATAATCTAAACATTAAATAAAGAACAATAAGTTGTATATTTAGGGTAAGTTTAATATCATATATACTCAGAGTGATTTGAGGAGATAATGTCAATTTTATTAGCATTTGAGAACTTTTTTTTTTGATTTCGCTTTCATTATCTGAAGCTAACTTTTCACTTCTACTATAAATATATCAAGCACTAACTGTTTTTGTGGATCTAAATTTATGCATTGATTTGTTAACTCAATATAGCGATCAGGAGACCAGAAGAATAGTTGGGTACAGTCCTTTACAAATAGTTTAGTGCCCATATAAGCCTATAATATCTGCTACTTGTGTAAATTGCTGATTGCCAGATTAAACTTAAGGAATATGACACTGAAAATACACTTTTTTTTTATAAACAATCCTAGACCTGCAATATAAGACTTTGCACTTTTATTAGTGCATTGGTCTAGCAAAATGTTACCACTATGAAAATCAGCATAAATATCGTGCATAATGGTGAATATTATCTAACTCACCTGAAATATCCTTAAGTATTTGTAATTTAGTTTTTCATGTAAGTTTACTAAAATTCGTTCTTAAATATTTATAAAGACTTCCCTTAATATTGTTTCAGTATTTCTGTCAAAAGTCTTTGTCCAGTTGACCTTTCTGTCATAATAATACCAGACCTATAATATCTGCTGCTTGTGTAAGCTGCTGTTTACCTGATCAACCTTTAGATAATCCTAAACCTGCTATATAAAATTGTGCATTTTCATTAGTGCATTTGTCTAGCAAAATATTACTACTATGAAAATCAACATGAATGTATCGTGCATAACAGTGACCTGAAATATCCTTAAGTATTTGTAATCTGGTCTTCCATGTAAGTTTACTAAAACTCACTCTTAAATATTTATAAAGACTTCCATTAATTAGTATACTGATTGTTTCTGTATTTTTGATATGATTTTTGATATACAACAAGGATAAAATAAAAGAGCAATGTAAGTCAAGCTGCAATTATATGTACATATCTGATTTCAGTAACAGGTCAGCAAGTCACAGACTCGGACATTGTCCGATGTCCGTGTCTGTAATATGTCCATGTCTGTAATATGTCCGTGTCCGATAAATATTGCGCAGACAATGTCTGGTAACAATTTATTGATTCGGACATAATTCGGACATGGACATCGGACAATATTCGAAAATGTCCGGTCCGCCAAAAATTACTCAGACATCGAAAATGTACAACATTGCCTTAATCAGTATGAAATTCTTAAAAAGTTAAGAATCTTGAGAGAAATAAATTGTTGTTTTGGCAGGTTGCACTGGGTAAATACTTGGTGAGTCTTTTTTAGATTAGAGCAATATATTATAAAAACAATATATATATGTATAATAGTCAAATAGTAGTTCAAATAAATAAAGACATGACTGCTTAAAAAAAAAAAAAAAAAATCCAAGTGAGCTTTGGCCACTCTGATAGACTTAAACCACAGATAAATATTTAGATTTACTTATTATTAGGTTTTCTTAGATATTTGAGTTCTTATTCTCAGCACTAGGCTTAAAATACAAAACCTTTTTCAATTATACAAAAAGTTTTTATTAAGTTTAATAAAGATAAGAGCAATATCTCATTTTAAATATTAAAAAATAAAAAACAATTAAGAGGAAGAAAATGACTCTAAGTTAGTTGATTTATATAAACAATAGAGTTCTTATATCAAGAATAGAATACTAAGCACAAGGCTGCATTATCAGTAAAAATATATGTGAAAGATTGTATAGCTCCTACCTAAAAATACTTAAGAATTATAGAGAAATAGCAATAAACATAGCTAATGAGGTATTAAACTACAAAAATATTGTCAGAATACAACTAATATGAAAAATGCTAATAGTCTATCATATTAGCAACTTAACATTTAAACTTAATGATACAGAAAGTTTAGGTTATACTATGTAGATTAGAATTCAGCAAAGACAACTAAACAACAAATATACCAAGAGTATACTAAATTTAGTTAAAAGAAGATTATTAAAACTACTCAAGAATTCTGGTCCAAGTTAACTTAAAAGACAGCCTCGAACCAGGCTTTTAACATTCCTACTGTGAAACAGTCGGTGTGCCATTCTGTTATTATCCGATCTGATCTTTGGTTATTATCTGCTTACGTGGATAATAACCATTATTATCATACTTCTATACTATTTTTTCAAATTAAAATTACGCATATAAAGTTTGGCTTTGCTACGGTCGCAAGGTTTCTTTTGTTTTCTTTCAATTTCTACCTTTTTTCTTAGCCAGAAACCTTTGCTCTTTGTTAATAACTTAAATAGCTCAAAAATTCGGTATACTGTATCATTAAAAAAAGTAAAAATATAATCAAAAAGAAATAAAGATTCCGGGTCAACCCAAATCTGAAACCCGGGCAATAAGCGGTATAAAGGTGTAAATAAGAACCAGGGAATAAGACTTTCTTTCTATTTTATTTATTATTATTATTAGATTTGCCCTTTAAAAATCTGATATTGTATATATATGAGTGTCGTCAAAAAAACCCCCGACAATTTAAATATAGACTATATTTAAATTGTCGGGTTTTCTTTTGGCGACACTCATATAGTACAGTATATATAGTATCTATACGTAATTACATATCACATATATCACATATATCACCAATTAGATTTTCATGGTTTGAATCCAAACTTGAAAACCCAAAGCCTCATTTTCCTTTGGCAGTACTCATATGTAGTGACGGGATTACAGATGCTAAAATTCAATTGCTAGTCCCATCACTATTCATATGTAAGCACCAATTTTTGAATTATGATCTATGAATTGACTAATAATCGAAACCCGGAATTATATGTCGTACGATCTATTTTTACATTTTCTTATCTGTTATGTACGTATTTAAAATTAATAACTTTTTTAAGTTAACGGATTTTTGAAACATAGGTACGTATACGTATACGTAAAATACGTATCTATATATATGTTAATTTTTTTTTATTGTACTAAAGCATTAAATTTAATATGGCTAAGGAAAATTCTTTTCTATTTTCTAAAATGGAGGTAGAGTAGTCGTAGCAGAAAACGATTGGAAATCACCTGATTGAGAACCTTTTTTGCCAAGACTATTCTACCTACAAAAATATTAGTATTATCTATAACCGCTTATTTTCAGTTGTCGATGTCATACGATTTAAATTTTCTCTTAGGAAATTATATGGTCTTGTCTAGACTAATAGACCACAATTAGTCTTGACCAGTCTAGAACTGAAAAAAAATTAGTCTGCTCAAAGTCTTAAGACTAAGTTTTAAGACTATAGACCATAATAAACCAGTCCAAACACTGGTCCAAAACACAAAGTTTAAATAGTTAAGGACCGTTTTTTGGACCGAGGTTGGACTGCTGATCGCGAATTTTATATGCACTGCTTTATAAATTATAAATAAGTTACGGAATTATAGCCGTATTACTTATTATAGTTAGGCAAGTTACGATAATCATTGGGACGATTCTACCGCGTTATTAATGGCTACCCATACTAAAATATATAATTAAGTACAGTAAAAGCAATGAAGCCGTGAAATATGGCAATCTGAAATAATCTCGAAACCAAGAAATATTATCCGGATTATCCGGATAATTTATTTATACGGCAATTTTTACTCGGGTACAATCACTACTAACATATACAGTCATATCCGCGGATATTTGGAATTACTATTTAAAAATTCCAAAATCTTACCATGAATAACTTTTTCCGTTTTGGTGATTTTACCATCAAAAAGACCGTCACAATGAGACGAGCCCAAAATCGGTAAAATCCATTCATGGGATCCCGAGATCGTTAGACTTGTATCACTTCGGATGCTTTAGGATTGATTAACCCAATCCTAAAACTCCCGATGTGACACGAATCTCGGGATCCCATTAATAGATTTTACTGATTTTGGGCTCGTTAGAATCGCGACGGACATTATGGCAAAACGGATCAGTGAATCAAAAGTTATTCATAGTTAAAGATTTGGGAATTAATAGTTCACATATGTATAGTTTGTTTATGCAGCTTTTACCTCCGTTAAGAAGTGTTAAATATATATACACAGCTCAGAATATTATATTTATTGAGCTTTCTAAAGAACTTTTTAACAATATTTCATGGAGCTTTTAAAGTTGTTGATATTTTAGCAAATATGAAATAAATACATTATAATACAGCAATATGTCCGATACTAATAGAAACTTTTCTTTTCTTGAGGCCTTGATCATCTTCATCTGCATCCACATCTACAGAATTTTTATCATGTAATTTATGTTTCCTATGTCCGTCATCAGATTTTTCTGATTCATTATGAGATATTCTGTTCTCAAGCAATGACGATGACGATTGTATATTAGTTATATTGGTTTGCTATTAAAAAAAAAAAGACAACACCTTAATTATTTAATTTCAAAAACTTGATAAAAGTTACAGGTAATTAAATATTTAAACTTAAAATTTACATCTGATTCCATAATAGTAACTTGTGATGCCGGAGCAGAATTTTCAAAAGAAATTTCCATTGGAGTAAATTCTTGAGACAATACAGGTGGAGAATTTACTTTTGTAATGAATTCTGACGTAGTTTTTTGTAAATTATCATGATTTTCTTCATGGAAATCATCCTCCACGTCAAAGTTCTCTGGAGATATCTATTAAAAAGTGTTAAAAGTGTGAATTTAAATCAAATATTTATAAGTTTAATATGGGTCTAATGAGAATACGAACTGGCATCAGTCCAATATCTGGGTTAAAATAATCATTCATTTTGCGTATATTCTCTTCAGTTTTTATGACTTCAAATGGATTGTTTGAATTAGAAGTGCTGCTTCCAACAACAGTTTTACCCTTCCTTTTAGAAGGCTTTGGAGGAGGGGCAATAAATCCTTCAGTTTTCAGACGGGTCTGAAGCTGACGTGCACAAGACAACTTGACACCTGCCCAAAAATATAAATAATTAAAATTTTCTTTCGTAGTTATATTACATTTATTATCATAATAGATTACCTAATCGTTGAGCAAATTGTCGACAAGTTGAAGGAATTCCTTCTTTCCAAATAATCCACAAAGAACGTCGAAACAAAGCTAAGTCTATAAGAGCGTCTAATTCCCAAAGATTGTTATTTTCATCTCGTAGGCATCGATAGCAAGTATGATATTTTGACATGCGAGAATCATCGAGAGACTTATATCCATAACAAGGAACATGCCCCCATGTATTACATTTAACACAATTGATCTATAAAAATATTTATTGCAGTATTTATTATTATTATTATAAATTATTAATATGTTAGTCAACTTTTACATACCATATCTCCGTCACGAGTATTTACACCACAATCACATTTATAATTAAGTGTATTATCCATGCTTTCGTTAGAAGAAGATTCGTCATCATCGTCAATAATTACAGGAGAATTTTGAGAGTTTATAGGTACATAGTTTGTCTCATTGGACACATCTTGACGTGGAGACGAATGGCTGTGCCGTTGTGTAGAATAAGTTCTTAGTTGTGATGATCTTGAAGCAATAGATGTTGAACAGCGATTTCTATCAACATTGTTCGAATGCGAGTGGTCGATAGGTTGTGTTATACTACCGTTTCTTGATTCGCTGTTACGCGACATAGATACTGTTGCAAATTAAGAAATGTTAACAAACTATAATTTTTTCAAATAAAGGAAAAGACTTTTGATTACCTCGATTTGAATGAGTCATGCTTTCATTTTCTGAGTAAAAAAAAAATTTAAAAAGAAATAAATAAATTTGCATCTTAAATGAGAGTTAACCAAAGATTTCAAAACAACGAAACTACATACTATCATAAACTTTGGTAGGATTAATATCTTTTGTCATTGATCTAGTTACCCTAGGTGGCAAAGTTGGAACATTTGATACTATTGATGTTTCTCGCCTATCTCTTGACATTGAGCTAGAAGTCAAAGCCGGAACATTTGATACCATTGACATTTCTCGCCTATCTTTGGACATTGAGCTAGAAGTCAAAGCCGGAACATTTGATACTATTGGCATTTCTCGCCTATCTTTGAACATTGAGCTAGAAGTCAAAGCTGGAACATTTGATACTATTGACATTTCTCTTCTATCTCTGGACATTGAGCTAGAAGTCAAACCCGGAACATTTGATACTATTGACATTTCTCGCCTATCTCTGGACATTGACCTAGAAGTCAAAGTCGGAACATTTGATACTACAGACATTTCTCGTCTGTCAGATCGCTCATTATATTGGTCACGCTTTAACGGAGGAATGTCAATATTGGTCACTTTTGGACCATCTTCAGAGTCAGAGTCATCTTCAGCATTCCAAGATTTTTCGTTATCTTTTATTGTATCATTTGACTCAACCAACATTTTATCAGTAGTAGAATCATCTTCAATATCAAGAACATCAGATATTGTTTGAATTGATAAATTTATGCTAAAGATATTTTTTTATTAATATATTATAAATATATTATGGATTATTATATTTAATTTATAATTTATAATTAGATTATGATATGATAAATTTTGCAATAAAAAAGCGAACCCGTGATATGCCGTGTCCACTTCACCGACTGGTATTTTTTCAGGTCGAGAGTTAAATATAAAACCTTCTTCAGCAAGATTACTAGCGCGAAAGAATGGTGGTTCATAATCAGCTGGTGTTACATGTTCGTAATAGTGAAGCTTGACAACGATATAACGGTTATCTGAGATAAATACAAAAATTAGCATCAAATTTAAGAAATTCTAAAGTAAATTCAAAGACAAACCTGGCAATGGCTGAAAATGGAAATGAAAAAAAAGGTTTTAGAAATAAATGTAAAATAAAATTTAAATGGTAAATATATATATACCTTTAATGTCTGAGTTAATAGAATCAACCTTCTTAATAATTGTTGGGTAGATTTTTTTATTTCACCAACAGTTATTCCTTCACGCATGGTAGCCATGACGTCATGACCACCACCTGCGGTTGTCAATAATTCGCCATTATTATTTTCAATGCGTAGCAAAGGCTCGCCATTAGGATAGGTTACTTTAAAAGTATAGCATTCCACAAGTTTATTTGGTTCTTTCGGATCAAGAAAGATACCAAAGATGACAGCACGAAGATGTTGATGATCTAAGGCATCAAAAATGCCGGCTTCCTGTGTAAAGTTAAATAATCAAGAATATTGCCATATTATTAGTAAATTAGAAAAAAAAAAAAAAAATCATTTCAAGAAGTTACCAGCCAATCTAATAAGGAATTTGCTTCTTGACTATAATCTCTCTTAAGATGTTTTAGAATAAGACCTATTAACGCATTATTTAATGACAAATTTGTACATTGTGTAATAAAAGCTAAGAAAAAAATAGAAGGCATACTCCCAACTTGGTAATCTTCATAGTTATCTTCAGGAAATAAACCTCTGAGGATAAGCAGGAATTTGTTTGACATACATGTGGTAAAAAAAAAAAAAAAAAAAAAAACAGTCTAAAAAAAGTAATACCTTAGATAAGTAATCGAACTTAAACTTGTCTTTAATAATTGCTTTACTATGGTCAAACTTTGAGTCTGTGTCACAACTTCGGTATCGCTTCTTTGTTTTGGGTGAAGCTGTCGATGGTAGATGAATGTTCCAAAAATTATTTAATACGCGTGAATATTACGAAATAGATTTAAAGTGCGTGAATATTGAATGCAATTTTCTTTTGTTTCCACAAATATATAACATGCCTGAGCAAGGCTTTGTGCCATATTTGTTTACACTGTAAGCAAGAACGTTGTTTTATTTTATTTATTTATTTTTTTGTAAAATTATAAATTTATAGTTGACAATTGTTGACAATTCTTTTTTAATGATTTATATATGGAATTGAAATAAAGAAGTCGGTGATATTATCAGTGATAAATTTTAAAATACCATATTTTGTAGAATGAATATTCATTCAATATTATACTTGGAACCTTGGTAATATAATCTTACATATTATATTATAATGCTGCAAATTTATATTTTATATTCTTGCACTACGTCTTTAATATCTAGATAATACTTTACAGGGGTTGATTTAGCGAAATATGGTTACTTTCGAATATTTGATATAAGCTATATGCAAATCAATAAATTTTTTTTCATATATGTACGTACGCATCAGTTGAATTCAAAAAATAAAAGATGAGCTTGATTACATAAGACAGTTCAAGACAGAACCCTAGAATTTTGTCCAGTTTAAAAATGTGTCTTTGGTAATATATTCGGATAAATAGCTAACGATGTGTTTAAATTTATTAACGTTAATGATTGCAAATTATATACAGTATATATATATATTAATTATATGTAACTTATATACCTACATATAATTGCATAAGGGTCCGCGCAAAATAATTTTTTTGCCGGCCCGCAAAATAAAATTTAGCCTTTTTAAAAGTTTAACCGCATTTACTATATTTTTAAAATTTTTCTTGACCTTTATTTATAAGAGCTACAACTTTATATCGTTATGATCAGATTGTATGTATATATTTATTATAAAAATAATACGTAAAGATAAGCGATTTCTAAATTTGAACTTTACTATATAGGGAATTTCATAAATGCTTTATCGTTTTGCTTTGCCGAATAAATTTATTTCAATGCAAAGATTTCCCTTTTACTAATTTAAAATTTTAAGTATGTATATGTCTACTAAGTAAATTTAATTATTCATATATTAGTGGATGAAACAATAATGATCTTAGAATTTGATAATTTGGTTAGGATCTTTTATTTATTTTATGTAGAAAATCATAGTTTGAACGATGAATTATCAACCCTATAAAAGCTTAGATATTTATTAAATAATAATATTAGCAATATTGAAAGGATATAAACAAGAACCCGATTTTTAAAGAATAAATTCATGATGGCAAGTGGCGTAATATCAGATGAGCATACGTTAGAAGTTGTGAGATTCCCTTTGACTAAATTGAGAGTTCCTGAAAGTATTGAATATAATCAGGATCTCGAAGGATATGTAAGTTTTTTTTATCTTAGTTGCATTTTATCATCTTGTTCTCACATTTTCTTAAATTCATATTTAAATAGTTATCACGTCAAGAATTTTTTGAAAAAATTCAAATATTTAATTCAATCTCCCTCAAATTATCAATAAACAGAATGATCGTACAAATACCTCTTGTATTCGTCATAACAACATTTGTATTAAGTGTTGTGGCGGTGAAAACTTTAGGTCCTTTCGCTGATGAACAACAAATTATCATAGGGATCGTGGTAGTTATATTTTTAATATCGGCTATGTTTATATTTTTCATTATTCACCAGAAAAGAAAGCACGTAAGTAGGTAATTCATTCAGATTGTTGTAGTTTTTCTAAGTTTAACTAAACTTTTGAAATTGTAACAGACCAATTCTCTATCAAAATTAATACGAGAATTCAATAAAGAAGATAATAAACGTAATGTTAATTGGAAATTGTATAAAGAATTGCAAAGCCGTGTTTCATATTTTAAATTTTCTAAGATTAAAATGGTACTTATTACAAAAAAATATATATATTTATATATGTCGTAAGTGGGAACGGAACTAGAATTGATTGGAATCCATTTATATTGGAACATAATAACTACGCCTAAAATCTAATCCTCACTTAATCAACATTTCACTTACAACATATCGATATATACTTTTTTCTGCTTTATCATTCATTAATCATTATAATGCTAATAAATTCTTTATCTAAAGTACTTGATAATTGAAATAGGATTACCCCCTGCATATCAAGTAGAGAGTGCTCACATCATTATTCATGATAATATAAACGCTGTGCGTAACGTAGAAGATTCTCCACCATACGAAGAATTTTCATCATTCAGTCGTCCTAATGCTAACATTTCATTACCTCCTCCTGTTTATTCCGAACATTGATTATGTAATACCACAGTATATACTGTAATATCAATCACATGTAAATGCATTTTTTTCGATATATTCATTTTTTTTCTTAATCTAATATGTTTCGACAAACACTAAGTCTTTTCAAGAATACCACAATGAGTAGACTTAAAAATAAAACTGTATTAATGTATTTGTTCATTTAAATTATATATATATATACATGTTTTTTGACTTTAAATTTTATGCTTTAGTTTAAAGAGGCAAAATGGCCTTTCAAAAATAGCATTCGAAAAAGTTCAGGTTCTACGAAGTGATTTGTTAAAAAAATGTTTATCTGATTTTTTGATTTCGTTTGTTTAATAAATTTATAGCACTGGTGCTTCTGCCGGTATAGGCGAAGCATGCGCCAAAGAATTTGCAAAAGTTGGCTCAAATTTGGTGATTGCACTTTATTTCTATTAACTTTTTCCTACAAAATTCTTCTCAATATCATCAATTCATATTTTATCAATTCATTTACATTTACTTCCCGTATTCTCTCTCTCTCGATCTTTTCCAAATAAATTTTCTATTTTTGTTTTTGCCCTTTACTCGTTCTTGAATTAGATTCTAACTGCACGTAGAATCGATCGCCTGAATGAACTGAAGCAATTTCTTTTATCCGAACACCCAAAATTAAAAATTTATACTCGTCAGTTGGACGTACGCGATAAATCTACTGTTGATCAATTGGTTTCAAGTTTACCTAGTGATCTAAAGGATATTGAAGTTTTGGTTAATAACGCTGGTAACCTTTTAATTCAAACATAATTCTTTTTTAAAATTAATTTCATTTATTACAATTATTTTACAATATTTTTTTTTTTTAAAAAAAAAAGGACTAGTTAAAGGAATGGATAAAATTGAGGATGTCTCTTCTGATGATATTGACACTATGATTGATACAAATGTTAAAGGATTATTATATGTAACTCAGGCTGTACTTCCGAGAATGAAGGAGCGTCAAAAAGGCCATATAATTAATATTGGTTCCATATCAGGTTTGTTATCTGACATCTTCGATCCACTCTATATATTAAAATGTTTGGTTATTTATTTGTAAATTATATAATTCATAGGAAAACAAGTTTATGCTAGTGCTGGTGTATATTGCGCAACAAAACACGCTGTCAACGCAATTTCAAGGACATTACTTTATGAATTGGTAATTTTCGTTAATCTTATGTCCATCACTTTCTATTAACGTAAATGTCTGTATATGTGTGACTGTAATTGTTAATTTCCACGAAAGGTGGATACGCCCATCAGGATCACGGAGATAAATCCTGGTAAATTTTAATTTTTTAATTTATTATTTCTTATAAAACTTTATCCCTGAAAGTTTTTTTGTTTCTCTTTAAAACATTAAGGCATGGTAGAAACAGAATTCTCTTTCGTTAGATTTGATGGAGATAAATCGAGAGCTGACAAGGTTTATGAAGGCATTGTAAGTTATTTTTACTTGATTTATGTTATTATTATATCTTGTTTAAACCTGATTCGATTTTTTTATCCATTTTTTCCGATTTAAAGACACCATTGACTGGTGAAGATATTGGTATAAATTCTTAATAAATATTTGCATATTTGTATATTTATTTATTTATTTATTTACTAATATTAAACTGTTATGAATAGCCGAAACTGTGGTATTTGTAGCATCTAGACCCGATCATGTTAACATTTCAGATGTCACAATGTATCCTGTTAATCAGGTAATTAATCTAATTCAATTTCGTCATTCTATCGTATTTTACTTAATTTATTTTAAAATAGGCATCCGTTCACACTGTGCATAGGCCAAATGCTAAAAAATAAAAAGTTTGTTATATCGAGAATATTGTGTATTCTATAACTTATTCTGGGAAATAGAGAAAAAAAAAAAAGATATAAGAACATTTTGTTTATATACTTAATATAATAGGTATATAATTTATGTACCTACGTATATACTAAATAAAATATCTTCATTTAAATCTAGATTTCTACTTATTTGTTAAACAAAACAGAAATTTATATACCATATTAAATCTTTAAAAAAAAATAGACATAATTCTATATAAATTTGGTTATATCGATATAGAAAATCGCAAATTTTGCGAATCAGATGTAACAAAATTTTTAAAATCTCGATACAATGAAGTTAGAATTAATATGAAACTCTTGATTTACTAATAAACTTTCATTATATGTAGTAAATTTTTTATTATAACAGAGTAACTTGTGTAAAATTATAAATATTTTATATTGTAATATATAATATAAAGAACTTAATTAGACATCGTGTCCTGCGAAATAAATGTTTTCATATATTAAACCTAGTTCTAACCAGCTTTATACTGTATATGAAAAATAAAACTAAAATAATAACTTTTTTCAAATTAGTCCAATTAGAAAGTTTAAAGATTGGATCAGACCCACTTTAAAATAATTCATCGTCAAATTTCGCATGTGGTTATTACTCTTTATTATATACATAGCAGCAAGAGTAACTAATTAGTTTTTGTTTATAGCTCTTTGTTACTATTAATATATTTTTCCAAGTTGTTCTGATTATTGGATCGCTCTTACAAAAAACAGTATTGCTTAATATAGATTGACTTAAATAATTTATTAAACTAATAAAAAAAACTTGCCAAATGAACTTTATACGTACACCGTGTTAAATATACTATACGTAGAATATTATAATATTGCATTATACTAATTTAGAAAATAAGATTACTAAATACATATTTATTATATATTATATATTACATTTTAAACCATATTTAAAATATAGAATTACTACATATCACCAGTGGTGATCATCACCAGTCCTAAGATTTGTTAGGGTTAGGGTTAGAAATTTTTTTTTTTTATAATATAATATAGAGGCCCGTTCTCAGTTTTCAAAAATTTTTTGGGCCTTTTGTCAGAGATTTTTTTTAGGGTTGGGTTAGGGTTTAGTAGTAGTTTTAATAATAAAAGAGTATAAGTAGATTTTGGTAGAGTTTTTATTTTTAAATAAAGGTCTCTAATTTCCAGCATTAGCCGTTTCTAGCTTTAGCCATGACAATAAATAATAAATATTTGATATAAAATACAAGTTAATAAATATAAAATATAAAATACTGTATAAATTATATGCTGTGCTATACTAATCTATAAAAACCTGGTTTATAATACTATCAAACAAATATTGTATAAATATGCATTTAGTTTACTTAAAATTGGGTTCTTTGAGCAATTAAGTAGATTGTTTTGCTTATATTCATATTACTGCTTAAAATTTAATTATAGTTAGTTTTATTACTGATTAATAAGTTTAAACCATCAAATTATATTGGTGGATTTGTGAAATTTGATAAATAGAAAAACCCATGAGCCGTAACTCTGGTCAAATTTGCAAATCATTTGGCCAAGTTTGAAATTATTTGATTTCAAAGCTGGCCAAATGATCTGTAAATTTGACCAGAGTTACAACTCCTGGGTTTTTCTATTTATCAAATTCACAAATCCGCCAATATGCCTAATAAAAAAAAAAATAAAAAATAATATTTTAAAGAAGTTTGCTATTTACCACTACTGGTGATCATTACCAGTGTTGCTATATTTTAAAAACGTACTAAGTAAACGGGATCGGGTACTCAGTAAAAAGGGTTCCCTTATGTCAAGAAAATCCCGAGCTGAAGATCACTGTAGATCCTTTCCGATCTGATTCCGGAGCCCAAATATTCACCAATCAGAATCAATTAAATTGAAAATCCTTTTAAA